CTACTCTACAATGCTGCTGTTGCCCAGCACGCCACTCTCCTGCAGGAGGATGCTAATCCTTCAGCAGTGATTTGGCATTTTGTTTCAACCTCATCACTTGATCTGTGGCCTGTTTTATGTACTACATGCACTCAAACTACTCTGCAGGCAGGCTTGTTACCATCTTCAAGGGCTTTTCTTTTGTGCTTAGCACTATAGCTCTGGTTTTTCAGTAGCACTAATCTTCACAAAACCCCTATGAAAGAAGAGGTAGAACTGTCCCAGTTCTGGGAACAGCGGGCTGAAGGTTGAAACATGCCACCTCATGCTGTGTTCCCTGGGACTCTGACGTTTCGGTCTCCTCACCGTGATGGAAGCACTTCCTATTCTGACACTCCTCCTTCTACCGGCTTCGGTCACAGAGTGCCTCAGCAGAGGGAAGGTGGCAGAGAAAACAGCAATTCCTGCGCAGCTGAACTGTTGGGGCTAGATTTTGCAACTTGAGTAGTCTTATTGAAATAAGATTACAAAGGCTTCTATAATGTGAGCTTGCACATGAGCTTGCTCTAAGTAAATGAGGTAAAAACTAAATTCCTTCATATGCATGAGATTCAATGGCTGAATTTCACCTTAAAAGTCCTCTTCAGGGACATCTTAGTACTTGAGCAAAGGCGTAACTGCCAGCAGCGGTGGGCCCTGCTTCTGAACGGACCAGCACTGTGGCAGAGCAGGAGCACTGTGGCAGAGCATTGCCTTGCCAGTACGTTTAACACGTATTCAGTGGAAGAGGGACCAAATGCGACATTACTGAATTACACCCCCTGAGCTGTGCTGCCTGTTCCCCTTCAGTTATTTCCCAGGCCTGGTCCTCCCCCATCCCAGGGACCTCTTCCTTACCCCTTCTCTCTGCCTGTCCAGCCCCAGTCGCTACCTCTCAGGCTTATGAGCTTCTTATGGACTCCGCTGTTAGACTTAATCTCTCCGGGGATCTTTCCAAGCTTCAAAAACCCAATTGCTGCTTCTGGTTCCTTGCCTACGTGCTTTCCTTCCCTGCCCGTTTCCTGGCTGTGCTTTCCCGGCGGCTCGTCCCCCTTCACTCCTGCCTCTGGGCCTACCTCTGACGCTTCAGGTCGTTGCCCAAAAGTCTGGGAAGTCAGAGCTTTCCACAGAGAAGTTAATTATAATATTTTTCAGAAAGATTAACGCAGTTTTTTTACCTGTGTTTCTCAGAATCACCGGAAATTATTTTGGTGAGGGTTTCGCTAATAAGGGTTTTCACTAATGAGGTTTTCACAAAAAATACAGTAGGCTGAAGCCCCTGATCTAGAAAATACCGGCCCAACCTCTTAGTTTTGCAGCATTACAGGCACCCAAAGGCCTTGTTTTGTAATGGAAATATTTGGTGACCGTTTCTAATGGACGACACCAGCCTGCGGTCAGGCCCGTCTTGCTTCACAGCCCAGCAGAAGGGGTTTGCCGTGGTGAATGTTTGTCACTGTAATTCCTCTACAAATTATTTGGAGTTGGGATTTTCTAAAGCGTTTAAGAGAACAGGAGACATTCAGCCATCACTGAATTTTGAATTAAAATGGGATTTAAACTTCACTGCTTGAAAATCCAGGTCTTAAGATTGCAGATGGGTACTTTCTCTGAGCTGTCTTTCTATCTAACCAGCGCATAAATATATGTGGTTATATTTTGAGGTGAAAATGATTTATATTATAATCATACTTGAATTCTTCATAATCTTTCACTGTGCCTGCTGGTGCTTCATACCAAACAAGCACTTAATGCAAAAGACAACCCTCTAGCCTTTGATATAAATCTAAGTCTGAAACTTTTAATATATATTTATAGTGAGAACCAGTTGTGACAGCTGTCACACCGACACCACACCACCTATAGAGAAAGAGAGAGACAGGTTAACCAGAGACTAACTTTTATTGTGCATTTTTATGCAACAGAACAAATGGAACTGGAGGTATGTAGTAATAAAACCAATATTCAAATTAGAATTAACACCTGAAATAGTAACCTGTAGGTAACAAATGTCTTTATAATTAAAAAATATTGACTGTTTAAAAAACTCTCTAAGATTTTATATTCTTTAAAAGAAATGTGTGTTGCCACATAGAAAACAATTTGCACATCCTATAGAAATAGTCACAAAAACCTTACTAGTCTATATTACACTATGCACTTTTTTTTTGTACAATATCTGGTAAAGGTCTATCCCTAACCTGTACTTACTCTACACAGTACAATCATCATTAGAAAGTATTCATAGAATTAACTACACCATAACAATAAAAATATCAGGATTAATGGTTTTTTAATCACAGTTTCTCCACAAATATTTGTCATAGAAAATATAGCGAAGGCATGTTGGCACAGATGGGCGTGCGGTACTGCTACACAAAGTTTGAGAGAAGGCAGATACATAAATGACAGTAAGATTAAAGAGTATGGAAGGATAAGACAAGAATCTCTATCCTCCTGGGACTTTCTGGAGTGACATGATAGATAGCGGCTTCCTTCTGTCGCAAGCCTGCTGTCTACAGCCAGAGCTGGGAGGGGACGTGCTGACTTACAAAGCACACTGCTTAAATACGGATCTCTCGCTCTGCAAGGGCTTGTGTGCTATCTATTATTTCAGGTCCCGTACTATTATACCTAACATCTTGCGGATATTTAGACACTTTAATGTGTATGAATTTATAATGCCTCATGAACAAATTCATCAGAATAAGCTGTTGTGAAAAATTTGGTTTTTAAAATGAAATTGGTGGGTCAAGAGTCAAGTGGCCATGATGGCATTTAAAAACAAAGACAGACAACTGAGAAAAGTTGTTGTACTCCGTTATTTTAAAACCAAACATGAACAAAAAAAGATGAGCTGGTGTCTGCTAACGCCTGTCTGTGACTACTATTCACATCACTGGCCAGTGCACACAAGCAAATGAGGCCAAAATTTTGTTCGTAAAGAAAGGTCCAAACCTGCGAAGCCACTTCTAGTGCCAAAGTGGCTTCCAGGGTGAAACTATACATTTGGTTATTTTGCACAATATGAGAGCAGAGGATTGTGAGTGGTTCCAGGACCCTGGCTACACTTTTTACACTAAAAATAAAGCTAGGCTTACTAGTTATTTCAGCAAATCTTTACGTTATTAAGTGAGAGAGGTCTGTCCAGCCCAGTAATTCTGTTCTGTGACTGTTAAAAATGAAGCGTTTGTGTTTTTAACCTCATATGATTAAACATTTGAAAGGAAAACATCACGATGTTTACAAAAATACAGCATGATACATATCGCCGTGGACAAATTTACAGTATAATGTTGACTTACACATTCTGACATGTTTTACCAAGTAGTTCTGGCAAGTGTCACCACATTAAACACAGACCAGCAAGACTTACACCATCTGAGCAATGTAACATCTTCTATTATAGTTCTTTTAAAAAAAGTGTAAGTTCAACACTGAAAAGCTACTATAGGGTATCTGTACCGTGACATTTCTATACACTGAGTTTCTCCTCCAGAGGCCACCATGCACCGTTGACCGCTCAAAGAAAGTCACCTCCTGCCTGTAGTGAGGGATGCTGTCCCAAACCCCTTGGCCTGGCGAGGTCCAGTGTGACTAAACTGCTCATTCACTTTTAGAAAATAAATGAGTTATTCTGTGGCAAGTGAGTGCCTTTCAACTCCCTTTTAAAAGTCACCAAAAATAAAATGAATCGAGAGGTATTGGATATTTAAGGGCCTAAAGCATATCCTGGTTGAGCGAGGTCCCGTCTACGGCGGTGCATGGTGGAGCCTGTGTCCCGAGACACCCCGCGGGCCGGCTTTGAGAGACCGGTCACAACCGTGGGCAAAGAGGAGGCAGATGGCGGGAAGAAACTATCATGTGGGCAAGCTGACCTTTGAGAGACGCCTCAGTCCTCCATCCGTGGTCATGCCGGAGCTAGAGGAACGCTCCACCCCGGAGGGCCCTTCCTGATCTTTAGGAAGGGGCTGGGTGCCTCCTGCCCTGCCCGGCACTCGGGGAGAAGGTCGGGAAGGAGAGGAGAAGGGGAAAAGGAGCAATTAGTAGCTTCTCTCGTGGCTTGCACAAGGCAGTTAAGAAAGCTGGGGAGTATGAGATACGCGTTCAGGAGAGTCAACGCTGATGAGGTAGCACTAAGGATGGTCAAAAGCGAAGTGAACTTTCTTTCCAAAACCAGCTCCCTGTACCTGCCAGTGGGGAAATGTTGCCTCAAGGAGAGCTGGTTCAGGCTCTGAAGGATGCCAGCACTGGCCTGAGCGACCGGACAAGGGTAAGGAGATGGAAACACCCTGGCGCGGAAAGGAAAGGGTATAATTTCTTTGGCATTGCATATTTCTGGGGTGCATCAATTTGGAGGGACAACGGACTCCTAAGCCTTTAAAATTAAAGGTTTTCAGTGGACTGATTTTTTTTTGAAGCTGGTATCTGCTGCCAATGTTGTGCACCGTTGTGAATGCTGCTCTAGCACAGGTCTTTCCTTACAGCTCTTAGTTAGTCTGGACCCCGTGTTTACTTACAACAGAAGGTTAAACTAGGCTCTTCTTACCCAACTCCTCCCTGAATGCAACACTGAGCATCTGACTGTTAAGACCAGCACATTGCCTCATCTATTTCAAGGAATGGGTATAAAACACAAATGAAAGCAAAACCAAGAAAAGGCAATTTAAAGCCTCTAAAGCTACATAATATGGCTGCAGAATAGGAACAGACAAAGCAAAACCTGTCTTCTGAAATAGCAATTTGTTTTTAGCAATCTCGTTTTAATGAAAACTGTCATGATCAACTCTAATCCCCGAGAAATCTAGATAAATATAGTGTCTATCTGATATACAAAGCAATTTTTATCTATTAGAAGCGCCTGTTATTGTTCTGGGTCTTTAAGGGATTCTGCTGTTGACAAGCGCTGCTGTTTTACCTGGGAAGCTTAATTTCCTGGCAGAGTTGGCTAAAGGAAGTCCCTGAATTTTCCATCTTGTGCAGTATTTTAAGGTAGCATTTATAATTATGTTATTTTCCGTTAGGAAAGGGGAGACCACTTCTTTTTTTGTTGTAAGTGTGCAGACTTGTTCTTACATCTCCTACTCAGGGAAAGCAAATAGTTCCCAGCTGTTCTGGGTCCAGACCTGGGCTTGTTATCAATAGGCAGATGAGATAGTAGCTGCTGTTTCTTTTGACATTTTTATAGTTTTAAATGACCTTTTCTCTAGAACTAGATGAAATGAACTGCAATTTCCCTTTGAGGGTGCTATGAAGGATTTGCAAATAATAGGCACTGAGAAGTCCCATAGAGCAGGTCTTGAAATGAATTTCTTTCTGTTAACTGGGACACAGTAGGGTGGAGAAGCTGAAATGTATGCAGTATGTGTTCAAACATGCTTTGGACTCTTAAATCAGGGTAAGTATGTTTAACAAACAGTCTCTCCTAAATTAAGTGGTTGCTACTGTTGTATGAGGTTCTTCTCACTGCCATCAATCGCCAGATCCGTCTTGCATACCTCTATTGAAGACTTCGTCCTGTGACCCTGGATGGTCAGTCCCCTCGTAATACGAGTTCCCGTTGTGAAGGAAAGTCCCCACCGCACGCCCTTGACGAGCATGTCCTACTGCGTCGCTGAATACCTTGTTTATTTGCTCTTCGGATGGCATCCACCAGTCTGGGTTGGAAGTACAATGCATCCTAATGAACTCTGCAGGAAAACATGCAAGGATAAAAAACAACTTGCCTTTGCAGCATCTGTAATCACCCAGGCGTCAAAAGCTCATGGGAAATAAGAAAGGGGGCATTACTGCTCTACTTAAGTGGAAGTAAAGCCTTATGGGGGATGCCATGATAATGCTATTTTATTTCTGTAAAGTGTGTTTCTCCACATGCAGTGTATGTTGTTATACCTGAGCTAATTATGTGATGCATGGGACCTGGAGATAAAATCCCTTCTTGTGGAAATAAAAAGAACTAATTCGAAGTGACGGTTGTGATTCAGCGTGTGCAATACATGTGAAAATCAACATGAACCGGGATGTATTTAATTTGAAACCTTAAGGTGATTACTCTTGTGGATCTTTATGATCTCCCTCTGCTGGCTGCTTCAACATCTGCAGGCTGCAGTAGCCCACAACCTGCTTGAAAATGTCACTACCATTATTTCAGTTTGGTGCTCCTTTCTGTTTGGAGTACCTTTCACTTTAAGTCCTGCTCTTTCCATCTTCCTGAATCTGACACCTGTTTTTCAGAGACTAAATTGGCCTTAGAAATAGCTAAATGAGATGAGAAGGCTAATTCGGGGAGCCTTGCAATCGTTTTCAATGCAGGAGAAAATGAATTGTACTGCATGTAATTTGGCTATTTAAGTAGCTGCTGCTTCCACATACAGCTATTTATATGTGATGATTACATTTTTTATAATTTCTTTTTCAGATTCCTTGACATGCAATATGTTAAACTTGCAGAAGGTGCCTTACCAATTCTGAAGTTGTAACTGCTAGCCATACCTCAAATAGGTGTATTTGGACTTTGAAACGTGCAAATACGGCTTTAAATGTGAGGGCACCTTATTAGATATATTGGATACACTGTACCTCATGTAGAAACTGAGCTTCTTATTTATTCTGTAACATTAGTTATTCCCTCATGCGGTATTGTGTGTCCCAGGATATTTTTAAATTCTATTTTCTACTGTTGACAAGCCAACAGCACAATAAGTGGCGTAAGGTAACTTCATTACTGTCGCCCCATCTCGAGACCAGGGAATGCTGTGCTTTTACATGAGTTCCCGTGCCTGCAAGGTATCTCATCTCTTGGACAATTAGGACGTGATTTTTGCATAGCTCCTCCAGCAGTGTGTCTGCAAAAGTGATAGCTATCTCGGTTTTAAATTCATTTCCTGGAAATCCACACAGGCAACAGTAATTCCTACCTAGTTATGCTCACGTGGGGCTCCACAGACTGGTGTTTTTCTCGGAGAAATGGTTACCACGTAAAGGAGTAATGCTATAATTTAAGCATGCCAGGCTGTTTTAAAGCTGGTTCCAGACATCAGTCAGTTGTAGGAATATATTAAAAATGTTTATAGATGTTTAAACTACTCCAAGTGCAGAGAGAGAAGCAGTTTGTGCTCCCTGCTATGGTGGGAAGGCATAATTGGACGTACTGAGAATTAGTCAGACACTTGTTACCTTGGCTTGCAAATGGGCAGGAGCCAGTGGCCAACTCTTGGCACCAGAGAAAGTTGTCATGTTCCCACCCACACATGAAAGCCCAAAGGGAGAGCTGTCTACTCTGCTTTCTTAACTGGTCCTTAGATACTGAATGTTTTGCCTTCCTCTTCATGCTTCTGAAAATCAAGGAAATTGGCCTTTCTCTTTCTCCCAAGAAGCACTCCACACGTTCTGTATGTCCAGGACCTCAGAAAGGAAAGTGGCCATAAGCAAAAGTCCATCTACAGGCGGATTTACTGTTAGTCTCGGTGGGAGGCAAGGGGAAGAAAAGGGTATTAACACTCTGCTTGTGCATAAATTATTAGGTGAAATTTAAAGTCATTTAGTAAATGGTTAATGCACTTGTATTCAGCCTTCAGTTTCCAGGAGAACTTCTGGGACCCTGAATCTCGCTCCAGACCTCCGTGCAGCATGGTGCGCAATGGACTTGCCCTTCTATTAAGCTCTGATAGAGTATAAGGTCTGGTAGAGTATCATGTAACAGGTTAACAGGTTCCTCTGTAGTACAAAAAGAGCCTCTTTGCCTAACTTGGCTGTATGTAAAATCCGAGTTCATTACCTGGTTACATCAATGTACCCCAGCTACAAGTCTTATCTACTTGGCCTTGTTGGATTCTTCTACCCTAGATGTGAAGAGGCTCCATCTGACGTATATACCCACTTTGGACTCCAGTTGGATTACTAAAGATATTTTTATCACTGACTGACCAAAATAGAGCTTTTTACACTGCACTGGTTAGTAAAACATTCTTGAAGTCAGTTCAACCGAAATTTCATGTATGTGCTCACAAAATACTATAAAGTTAACTATGAGTTAATTAAAGAAATTATAAGCATATGCATTCATAAAAATGCCGATGCAATGATACTACAAACATGTTTGTAATTGGGCTTTAAAAAGTCCTGCTTTGTATGTTTCATTATAAAGCCCAGTACCAGGCCTTTCGAACAATTTTGGGAAGCCAAAGCATGAACTGCCACAACAGATAATTCTTCTCAATCTGGACCCTTTCTCTGTATTGTCCTACATCCTCACTCTCCGACATTGTGAAATGCTTGCAAAACTCCTCCTCCTTTTCAGGCTAAACATGGGGGAAAGTTGTGCCCTAACTTTTTCAGTCAATGTTGCATCAGTACTCCAAAAAAGAAGTTAAACCCTTGACAACGCATTTGTATACACTTTGTATGTAATTAACCTGTGGATGTTCTTGACCCTACAAAATGTTCAAACCTATTCTGAAACTCAGTTAGCTTTTAACTCCAATGATGCACTGTGGCCTTGAGCGCCATATGCTTACTACACATTAGGCTATAAATATTCCTTTGGTTAATTTTGCTGTGTATCAGTGTTAAAGAATGCCCTGTTAGTTTATTACAAAAGAGTGTAATCAGGATTGTCTGATTTTCCTTTGCTGTTTCAAGTATATCAGTGTCATGTGCCCTTGTATTTGTCTCCTCTCTTAAACAAGCAACCCTGTTTTTTGCCATTAAAAAAATCCCCAACACATACATAATACATACATACATATATATGTATGTATAAAAAAAAAAAGCGGAGGGTTTCTGGCTGCTTGTCGCCTGCCTGTGAAATCCCTTCTAGTTCTGCAACTGTCAGCCAAATGCTTCTACTGAGCCAGAGCCAATGTGGTGAAATGAGATCACATATGGTGGACACTGAGCGAAAAGATGCAGTACCTCTGAGACATGTTACTTTTACTGGATCCAGAGGACGTCTTTCAGGACCTGTCTCTCCTGACTGCACTGACCTTTTCCTTTTTCCAAGGCCGCATGAGTACTTAAGCTCATCGGTTGTGAAAACAAATCTGATGAGATAGCGAAGGAGCCGTCGTCCATCTTTCTTGGAAGAATTTACAGCCTCATCCCACTGTTTACTAGTGATGTAGACAGGGTAGTTGTTCAGCAACTGCTTGCTCCCCTGAAAAAGTGAAATATTTCCGTTGCTTATTTTACAAGGCAAATAAGTAAAGATGTCAGCTGCAAAAAAAAATACGCTTTTTAACTAGCTGCGATACTGACAGCGAAACACATCCTGAAGCGAACACGTAATTGCTCTGACTGAGAATGAGAACTTTTAAAATTACATTTCCATTTCCTAGAACTCGAATTTGGTGAAGTATGTTTTGAGAGATGGCTATTGATAATTTCCCCTTCAACAAGCAGGTTAGAAAAAGTTAAGAACCAGTGACTGGGTATACTATTTAAGTATAACCTTTCTTCTTAATCTTAAAATGCATGAAAAGGGTCTTTGAAGAGCGTGATCAAATGGATCACTTCATTGTGGCTGACAGTTTACTTCAGAGGTGACTCTCTTGGTCTGTTTTTATAATAAATTTATTACTTCTGTAGAACACACCTGAAACTTGACAGCAGTTATGTTACTGTGAAAAATACAAAGAAAATAAATAAAGGAACTATGAAAACTAAAAGCTTCATTATTATTAATGAATGCCATATTAACTCAAATTATAGCTTTACAGAAATGCCACCATGTCAGCTGGAAAGAAATTTTGCTTTTAACCTTCATAATTTGTGTGCTTCAATATTCCAACATTAAATGAATGCTGTGGGACTAATTATGGGGATTCCTGTAATCCACGCACATTTATAAGCCCTCTTCAGTCAATTGTACCTAAATTGTATTTAATTCTTGTTGCCCATCAAATGTTGTATTTCAGGATTACCCAGTTAACGTAAGATGGTACTGTTAATATACTTGAAATAACTGAAGTACACAAAAAACCAAACCACATGCTCCTAGAGACTCATTCACTTTTACAGCTACACCTCTTTATTAGAACACATAATCTGGAGGCCCAATTAGTAAAAGCTTTGTATAGCCCCCAACTTAGATAGGAGCTCACAGTGAATTAGAGAAACAAGGGTCTGATGCTCAGCAGAGGCAATCACCTGCATGCTGCACTTGTGGGCAACCATTGCAGAGTTCTCCTTCTCGATTCCAGTTCTTTGATGTCTGAAAACTATTTTAAGGACTACCCTTGCCTCCTTTCATATATTTATTATAGCATCCTGGGAGACAGCTTGGGAGCATCCTTGAAGTTTTTCCTCAGGTATTTGCTTTTAATTTTTTTGCAAGTTTGATAAATATGTGGAAGGTTGAATTTAGTGAAGACCGTGCTCAGGGGGTCTTTGGAGAACCTGTTCGTATGATTTAGGGTACCACCACCTCCCACGGCAGGGTTAGCACCACTGGGAGCTGAGCCTGTGTGACTGCTGCTTGTTCGCATCGGTGCAAACCTAGCTGGCTTGGTGCAAACTGCTGGCAAAGGCAGCTACAAGCAAATCCAAAACTCTGCAAAGGAAGACAAAACAGAAAGGACACAGGCTTTGTCTGTCTGACGGGCCCCTATCCTTTCCGCCAAATATCTCAACCCTTTAGCTTGTAAATCCAAGCTTGTAACCTCGAAGAGAAAGACCCTTTACCTATAGTCCAACTCTGTCTATAATTTGCATTTCACTTGTCTGCTCCCACTGCTGCAAAAGGGCCAGGGTCAATTCCTCCCCCTCCACGCATGACGCTGCTTTCATTTTTGCCAGGTACACATGTCCCTGGAAAGCCAACAGTAGGGCTGAGGAGCTCTGCTGTGGAAAGAACACTTCCTCCATCCAGCCCAGCTCCTTGTCCTCTGCCAATGTGGCAAGGGGGCCAGGGAAGGAGGAAGAGCAGGGGGGCAGCATGGAAAGCTCTTTGGGGGTATGATGCTCTTATGCCGAAGCAACTGTGACCCCTCCAACTCAGTGGGAGCTGACACTAGTATCTCCTTGGCTTGTTCCATCACAACGGTAATACACAGGACCACCTGATCCCCACATTGGCACTAATTTTCTTCAGCAGCTAGCTCAGCATCCCGTTTATATAAAGCTAATCATTTTCCTACC